CATGCCTCTGCCGACAGAGGCATGTAGTGTAGACACAGCCTAGGGGTGGAGTGCCACCTGAGTACATTGTACCAGCCTCCAGGCAGCCTTCAGTGCCACTTGGATTGCGGTGCGCCCCACCCCTCAGTCCTTAGTGCTGCCCAGAGCATGCACCAAGACTTTGCATGCTCCCCACCCCCAGACCAATCGTGGGATGGGGAAGCATAGAAGTGTCCTGGCCCCCACCCCTTCCATCTGAGATCCTGCCCCTTTCGGGGCAGACCAGGTCTACTTCAAAAATTTCTGAAGTGGTCTCCGGTCAAAAATTATTGTCCACCCCTGCACTGTGTTTCTCAACCTTTTTTTATAAAGTACCCCCTTTAAAAAAAATTATAAGTACCCCCAGTACCTACAGTTTTCAGACACACAACATTTTTTCTACCATTGCAACACATTTATTTAAACAGCTTAATCGTAGCCGGGTGGGTGATGAAATTTTTGGGTGTAAAAAGTACAAAAATAATAAAGCATTGTAAAACTTAAAACAAAAATTCAGTTTTCTCCAAATTTCAGTTGTAGTGACGTACCTCCCAGACTTCTCTTGAGTACCCCTAAGGGTACTTGTACCACTAGCTGAGAAACACTGCTCTAGAGTGTACATTGTTATACTGGTATAAAGCACCTTTGTAATTGCAGCCACATTAGGGGGTTTATACGTCTTTTAATTTTATTTAGGGTGACCTCATGTCCTGATTTTATAGGGACAGTCCAGATATTTGGGCCTTTGTCTTATATAGGTTCCTATTAACCCTCACTACCAGTGCTGTTTTTCCACACTTCCTGTCTGGTCACGCTAACTGGAATAAAGTATTTCAGTATAGTGGTAAGTTAAAATGGTATGACTTCTGTGTGTAGCTAAGTGCTTCAACGTGTTTCCTAATAAAGCTAATTATGTAATAAAGTTAGAATGCAGAAAACTGACATGGTTCTGATGAAGAAAGGTCATTTCACATTATTTTCCCCAGGGCTTTCATGCTGAGTGACTTTACTCACCCATGCAAAGACAGGAGATAACTTAGGAGGCTTCTTATTTCGCCTAAACCCTTTACAAGTCTTGACAAACAGCATCTGTCATCCTCTCTTGCTTCCCATTTCCTATGTTAATTACTTGTCTCTCTAATTAACAAGTTTTTTATTTTTTTAAGTAAACCCCAAAGTGCATGTCCATGAGTGATAGCTTCCTGACAGCATTTTATAACTGAGTAGCACCACTTGCTCAGAAAACTCTCCGATAATACAGTACCACTCACTAGTGACAACAGGAAGTCATCCATGAGAACAAGGTTCCCCACATTTCATTTAAAAATAAAATTATCCTCCTTAAAAGAAGAAGTAGGGCTGAGGAGAGAGATGAAACATATACTAGATGGGTCCATCACCCTGCCAAAGTCTTTTAAAATCATGAAGATCACAAGCCACATTTTATTATCTACAACAGAACGTACAGATAAGAAATCAGGATAGGTTTGTCATACTGATTCACATAGTCCAGAATGCTATCTTTTGAGAGTGGCTATCACCAGGTGTTTCAGCAAGCTAAATGAAACTCCTCATCTTCATTGGAAGATGTGGATTTAATGTGTCCGTCCCCTCTTGGTGTTATCCTGGTCTCATAGTGAGGTATTCTCTTAAACCCTAAAGTCTAAAGTTCAATAGCTACTCCAAATATTCTCTTGTCATTAAATATAACTGGATTGGCTTGATCTACATATCTTTATCCATATTCTGAATTCATTAAATATCTGATTGCCCAGCAACAGAGAACAGTGCAGTAGGTATGACATACAAATAAATTATATCCCCAACAGGGCCGGCTCTAGGCACCAGTAAATCAAGTACGTGCTTGAAGTGGCACATCTCCAAGGGAGGCATTTCCAGGTAAGCAGCTGCCCCCGGCAATGCCTGGCCCCGCCCCGCCGATTTTAAAGGGCCACGGGAGACGCCACTACCCGCTGCGCAGCGCTGGCACCATGTGCGCCCGGAGCCTGCTGGCTGCCCTCTGTCTCCTGCTGTTGCCCGGCTCCGCGGCCTACTTCTGGTAGGCCTGTCTGTGGGGGGCCAGGGCGGGTTCACAGGGGGACAGCCCTGGTGCAGAAAGCGCAGTCTCCCCTCCGGCCAGGGCCATAGCATTATGCATTCTTTTAACATTACCAGTATCAGTGGCTTCTGGTAAGGGCAGTTTCTCAAAACTGAAATTACTAAAAAATTATTTGAGATGACTAAAAAATAATTTGAGGTCCACCAAGTCTCAAAATCGTTTGTCAGGACTCGCATTAATTTCTGTTGAAAGTACCACTGCAGAAAATTTAGATTTTACTGAATTATTAAAAGGCTACGCAAGTATAAAAACCAGAAAAATTCAGTTCATATAAATTCTTTTAATTTATGAGAAACTGGGCATGGTGGAAGACACTAACATTTTTCATTACAGTGTATAGTTGAACCCAAATTGTTTGTAATTGTGATTTTGTTAAAATTAAATGAGTACACTAGTAGGAAATTGTTTTATTTCACTAACTACAAATTTTCTGTTTTCATTTTTTTTATTTTAAACAGTCAACCCCCCACCCCTCCAAAACCCATTGCAAAGTGCAAATGTGTAAAAGCCAACAAAAAAAGGGGGGGGGGCGCCAAAAATTTTTTTTGCTTGGGGCGGCAAAAAACCTAGACCCAGTCCTGATCCCCAGTATAGAATAGTGTTGTATTAGAAGCATCATAATAGGTGACTGTACAATACAAAAATGTAGATTTCATTTTAGTGCACTGCATTTCCAATGAAACCACAACCCATTATGCTTTACAGAACTAAATCATACAGCTGCGTCCTGTAATCACAGAGAAAGCTAGAGAGACAAACTTTCGTCTTTGCTTGTAACTTTTCAGGTGAGCTTTGGAACGAGATCATAAATGTATGAAGCAGAAGGACATCAGAAATGTGTGGCAGTTAGCAAGGACTGCAGGAAGAACAATGGTGAGATTATAAGGAGAAACAGTGAATTGACTGATGCTAGGTATGTGAAGGGTAAAAGAAGAAAGTTATAGACTGGGGCTAAAATCTGATTGGCTTATTTTGATTTTGGCTTCAGTGTCACTTCTTGAGTGTCCAAGGCAAGTCCACAGGACAGGTTGGAGTAAGACCATGGTGAGTTTCAGAAGCTTCTTTCTATGTGTGAGCAGGTAAGGACAACCTCACAGGTCTCTCCTATCTCTCATGTCTTGGATTCTAATAGAGATGTAGCCGTGTTAGTCTGATCTTGCTGAAACACAAGACAGGACTATGCAGCACTTTAAAGACTAACAAGATGGTTTATTAACTTTCGTGGGCAAGATCTGAGGAAGTGGGTCTGGCCCACGAAAGCTCATCATCTAATAAACCATCTTGTTAGTCTTTAAAGTGCTGCATAGTCCTGTCTTTTGCCTTGGATTCTGCACAACATGTTTTATTATTACTAGAATACAGAATTTGGGTTCACTAGACTAATATAAAGCACCTAAGTCATTTAATCAGGAGTCTGAAGTATTCCTTAAAACACGGTTAATCTTTTTGCATGTCTGTTGTTTGATATTTTTCACTATACAGGCAGTCCCCGGGTTACGTACAAGATAGGGACAGTAGGTTTGTTCTTAAGTTGAATCTGTATGTAAGTCGGAACTGGCATCCAGATTCAGCTGCTGCTGAAACTGATCAGTTTCAACAGTGGCTGAATCTGGACACCAGTTCCGACTTACATACAGATTCAACTTAAGAACCCCAGGCGTCCCCAAGTCAGCTGCTGCTGAAATTGATCAGCAGCTGATTCCAGGAATCCCGGGGCAGAGCAATCTCCTCTTTCAGAACATAATTTATTCCTCATAAAATGAGGAATACAGAGATGCAGAAAGAATGCACCCGCTTTTTCGAAAACTGTTCTAAAAAAGTGGACTCGTTCCCTGGACATAGCAGAGTTTTTCCAGGATATCTATAGTATCCCAGAAAAACTCTGCAGTCTAGGCATAACCTGGTTCAATGAAGCTTTTTATGAAAAGGATAAAGCCCATATAAGAGGACACAGTTTGGGCCAGCTCAACACCGTGGAATGAACTCCCACAGGAAGTAAGGGCCATTATAAGCATTACCATCTTCCACTTAAGTGCCAGGAGCATTTCTTTGGCCTTCCCTTCTTTAACCAACATCTAGCAAAGTTTGTTTTATTTCACACATGAATTATTTTAGATAATAAAATACTCCTGCCAAGACAAACACTCCAATGCACACATTTTTCCCCTTGAGCAGGTGATAAAAGAACAAATACATGACAGATATTAGTCACATCACATAATACAATGCTGGAAGGCACTCCGTTTCTACAGTGATGACCACAGGATGAGAATAGAATAGAATAGAATAGAATAGAATAGAATAGA